CAATATCGAGACAGAAGCTGGAGCCGCTTCTCGACCCCAAGGCCAATCGTGAAATGCTAGTATTCGGTCCGTACAAAATGCTGTCGTCAAAAGCACCGAGCCATCCGTCGAAAGGAATAGCCGGCGGTATCAAGCTGGATCCAAACAGCGATACCCAGTCAGCTGTGCTGGGGGGACTTTGCACAGAGTGTATGGTGCTCTCAGTTAACATGGAGCCTTCAGATAAAACTGGCAAGGGGATCGGCATTACGGAAGGACTCTATACACATCATTTCGTGACCGTCGACATGGGCCGCAATCAAGTTCCCAATCCTGCCAAATCAACATGTCCTCCAAAGCCTGGAGCTGGAGCCATGGGAGGACATGGTGGAATGATGGATGGAATGGCGGGTTCACCATCCAAATCGTCTGCTGGCCACTCTCATGGTCGTCGACAAATAGCACGTCGACAGTTTGGTGCCGCTGGTAGCTTTTTATTCGGGTCCGGGGTCTCCGTCTTTGTTGGTAAGGGGAATGAGGTCGCTCGCTCTGTTTTCGCAGCGGCAAACAGTACGGTGAAGAGCGGGTTTTATATGTCAGGCAAGGATAAGATTTACATGACGGCCGAGTTTGTTAATTACGAACCCGCGGACCGCGACATCTATGTCTTACTGGACTATGAATATATACCCAGTGTGGACGGAAAGAGACCGGCGGATTATATGGACGTTGGCATGGGCGCCATCGCTGTCGATGGATGTATGGTCACCGCTCTTGGTACGCGCCCGCTCACTCCACAAGCCTTCTCATGAAATCGCTAATACGTCGTAGAACCACCTAAGGACAAGGCGATCAGTTACAAGTCCCCAGAATGGGACGTCACCCATAACGGCTACCTCGTGAACATCACACCTCACCTGTATGGCCTCTTCTCCCTTGCGATTCCACTCTACTAATCCTTCCCAGACACGACGGAGCCGTAGAAATCAACGTCTTCCTCAACGGAAACAAAGTCTGCAACTCCCAAGCCATCTACGGCGGTGACCGACCAATTGTGAAAGGCGATGCCGCAGCAGCGCCATCGACACAGGAGAAATGGGAAACGATACAGAGTTACACTCCCTGCAGCCAGCCTGTCAAGATCAAGAAAGGTGACAAATTGACCATGGACAGTACATACGACCTGACGAAGCATAAGCTAAGACCCGACGCGCACGCGATGGGTATGGGAGGGGGTGCGGGAGAGGGGGCTGAGGGCATGGCATTAGCTACCTATCAATTCGCCATCAGTCCTGATCAGAGCGACAACTTCTAGCGTTTTGAAGAAGATATGTTCTAGGTTTTGGAGGAAAGATATTGACCTTGTAATCTGACGAATTTTACCGTGGCTCACGCAACGTGATTTGCTATTCGAGTTCTACTTTCAGGCTTGTCGCCAGGGACTGTCATGAACATCATCCCATCATCTAGTAGGAACTTATCTACCACCCAAGCAATTACTAGAAAGCGGTATCTTTTTTGTGTGGTTGATGCATAGAGATCACGTGCATGGCTCGGGACTTCCGGTCTCCGAAACATCCTGGACAATTTCTGGCCAAGTTTTCCCTCTTCATCTCGGACTTTCAACTCCAGCACATCATTCTCTCCAGAAGACCGGTGCTGGTGCATCGATGACACTTTCTGCCCCAACACCTATACCTATCATGTTCAGTTAGCGGCCAAACCACTGAGAACAAACCCCTGAAGAGAAATCAATTTCTAGACCAAACTTTCTTCTAGGACAGACCCATGGCGAGTAGTTGGTAAGAGATGCAATGGCAAAATTCGCATTCATCGATCTCACCATCCACAAGGACATATCATCACGACTTGGAACTTCAGAACTTGAAAATGTACTTTGCTGGTCTCATTATGCCTACAATGCCCAAAACCCGTGATAAGTCATCTTGACCCGAGCATATCCTGTCCCTGAGACAACACCGACCAACAATTCTACCATTCTCCGCTATAGCAATCTAGTGCGTGGTTCCCTCAAACTGAGGTTGCAGCAGAACGATCAATGCAAACCTCGCCCAGCTCGACATCGCATGGTTGTTCCCGACCATCGACTTGGCCTTTGACATGGTCTCCGACCTGTGGTTCAGCCTGACGCGTCCAAACTAGGAGTACAAAAGCAGCTACTCCCGGCCAGATACGGAATTTCAGCAAGAGTTTGTCGCCTTTGACATGGTCTCCGACCTGTGGTGCAGCCTGACTCCTGCAAACCAGATGTGCAAAAGCAGCGAATCCCGGGTAGATACCACACTTCAGCAAGAGTCGGCCAAACAACGACAATCCTGATGGAATCGTCATCTGGTCCTTGATCTCCTCCAGTGTCGGCCACGCAAACACCAATGGAGGTAGTACGATGATTGTAAAGAAAATGAAAATGCCGATCACACTGGTCAGACGTAGCCAACTTCGGATTGCTTCTGAAATGATTTGGCCACGTTTTCCTTTGCTTTCTCCTGACGGGACGAAAAATCTCTCCGCTCTCGCCCAATTGATTTCGAAGGATCTTGTGAAGTATTCCAGTATCAGAGCGAAATCGAGGCCGACCAAGAGAATGAAGAGTGTATCGAGGCATAATTCGAAAGCCTTGTACATCTCCCATGAATACCAACTTTTACTGAACCATGGTACCAGCATCAAGGTGCACGCAAGTACTGGCAGGTGGACTGTGAAGAAACGCAAACTCTTGAGGAACAGGTTACGATTTCCATCTCTCAACATAAAGGCATAGAAAAGATGGGCGCCTATCATGCCGATATAGAACGGCCCACGGTAGAGGAGAAATTCGATGGGGGTAGTGGGCGGGGAGAACTTGAGGAATTCGATCTGTATAGCAAGACCGAGATTGAGGTTTGATAGCATTGCCCATAGTAGGAACCGATGGGCGGTGAGATAGATGGCGTTCGAGTCTGCGGTCTCCGGTTGAGGGGAGATCTTTTCTGCGTGGGCCATACTGGCGTAGCTCGAATTCAGTCTTTGATAATTGGTGAGTGAGGATGCTCTGCTTCGTTATCGATGTTGACGTGAAAATTTCTGTTTGTTGGTGTAGAAAGCAGGTCTGAAGGTGAGGGAGACGCATGTTTATAGCATACTCCTTCGCACTTTCCTAGAGATTGGCGGGCAACCAATGTGACTAGCCATGGGAGTTTCCTCACTTCGATATCGACATCGATGGATCTCTGGTGTTCTTGGAGATCACGCTGTGCGAAAATCAGCACAATTAATCTCAAATGGAAAAGAATCCAATTGATCTAACTGTTAGGGAGAAACGGGGACCTGGACCAGACGTGATGTCGCTCTGTCATATGTTCTTTCCTTGGACTTGAATCTGCGAGACGGCAAGCACGGTCACGACACACTGGACACACAACTGAGTACGAGAGCCGATCAAGTTGAGCGACCGGTCTCTAGCGACATCGCTCGAGCCATCTGCGGCGAGTGGTGAACACTGAAGTTTGACGGGACTAGCAGGGCAATTCGTGGCGATCGACTGATACCTATGCCAGGTATTTCTCGATATCGGGCGCTGCTCCGCAGTCTCCTCTGCTCCGAGATTATATTAGAAGAGCCACCCAATCGTTGGCACTTTCCATCTACTGTCAGCCCACCATGATCTCCACCTGACTCTCCTATACCATCACAGGAGAGACCGGAATGCAGGTGAGAATGACACTTAGGGTCAAAGATCCGAATCATGTAGGACTAACAGAACCTAGCGCTCTCCATGCAGCCACCTTTTCTCCAGATAGCACGTGCCCTCTGAAGATGAGGTTTGGTAGGACAATAAGTGCAGCCACGCGCAAAATCGAGCTGACCGCATCAACGGCAAGAGAAACCTGGATCATAAGCATTTGAAGATCGACCCGTTTCTCAGGCGTGACAACATCGTCGCCATGATAGGTCAATGTATCACTTCCCGGCAGGTACCTTATTGACAAAGTCGAGAGTAGTCAATGGAAAGGGCACCCGTGGAGTACTCGATCGCGAGGACGGGAAATCGAGGGTGAAACAGAAGGAGCCAATAACATCGGTTCTCTGTGGATCGAAAGGTAGCACGTTTCCCTGCCTTTGAACGAGCATGTTCTGCAATTCAGTCATCGCTACGACTATAGATAGGAAGCGCATGGTGACTTTTATGTCGGCTACAGGCCGAAGCGCTCTTTTGTAGGATAGACCGGCTTCGGCTGACTGTAGAAGCATGGTTCAGCAATTTTTCGTCCTTCACAAAGTTCATGACCTGTGCTTCTGCCGAACTCTATAGAGATCAAGATGATATGAGTGCCATCTTCATGGCCTGAACTGTCGCCCACTCAGGAGTCCTAGACCGAGCTTGAAATTCGGCTCAGCCCACAACGGGGGCAGTCATCCATGGACTGTTCGATTTGATTGCCAACCTCCAAACCCAACCAAGGCATAACTCATATTCGTCTCGATATCCCATTCACCATCATTTCAATCCACCACTCGATAAAGTGAGATTTAGGAGTAGGGAGCATCGAATATACTAATCCATTCTGCATATTTCCCCATGACTGGTATGAAAATCCAATACGCTCAATCCGGTGTAAGACTCCAGAATACTCGTGTCAAGCTGGCAACTTCGTTGAGGTTTGTCTTAACCCATGCCGCTTGATCGTCCGATCTCAGTCCTCTATCTCAGAAGCAGGCCTATATCATGGCGCGCAGGATTAAGAGAGATAGAGCTAAGACGGAGCAGGACATAGTACAGCAGCATTCGCAACGAGAGGACCGGGGGGGAAAATGGGGTTGGGATCTGCCCATCGAGGAGGAGCAAGGCTGGAATGGAGTGGGCCAGGGCTGTTTATTGAAAGAAGCAAAAAATTTGATATCGACAATGAAAACTGTTGATGCCTTGGCTACAATAAATGAGGCATGACGCGTGCAATTAAGGAGCTCGGTTCGACATCTGTTCTGTGATTCCAAGAGGCCAAAAAAGCGACCAAAAGGAGAGGTCCTACCCTGGATCGAACAGGGATCGCCGGAAGGTACTGAGCTCAGAATCCGAAGTGCTAACCATTACACCATAGGACCACATGTGGCTTGGTACGTCCACAAAATTACTACATGACTGGCGCAATTGTCTTGACGATGAAAATGTTGGTTGCAGAACTACTGATGCGATAGCGGATAAAGAGGAACACAAGCAAAAGGGAATGGGGACAAACACATGAATCGAGAATGCTTACAGAACATAAGAAATCCTATTCATCATTACCGTGCCAGAAATGTATACAACGTGGACTGCATTCACTGTCTCCAGCCAACCAAGAGAAGAAAAAAATTCCCAAGAATACAGACGTGTATACAAGCAACTTTCTCTGACAAACACTTAAACACCTTGCTCAATCATCTATATCAAATCAGGGAGCAACAACACAAGAAGTTAACATTACGTGTATATATGTACACATACACAAAGGAGAAAAAATCTCGCAAGTCCAACATTTAGACAAACGCTTACAAAAGAAAAGCCGACCACCCCTGTTTTAATACATGGATCATCTAAACACCAGAGTCGGGTTGAATGATCCCGTTGCGGGTGGCAAAGTCCTTCCAAGAATTGCAAGTGCCGTCGAGTGCGCAGGAGTTGTTGAGCGCACCGGAAGATTGGATCTTGTCCTGCATTTCCACGAATTGGAGGGCGAAACCCATGCTGAGAACAGAGTTAGCAAACGTGTGGAGACAAGGATGAGGGGAGGATGGACTTACGATGTGTGCCAACCGATGTGGCAATGCATGAGCCAGACACCTGGGTTATCGGTCTCGAAAGCCATGACGACGAAACCGGCGGCAGGCATAAGGACGGTGTCACGACGAGGAGGATTGATCAATTGAAGTGGAACGCTTCCGCTGTAAGTTCCTCTTCCCTGTGCCAAGACGAAGAAATCGTGGCCGTGCAGATGGAGAGGATGTGGCAGTGGGATGGCTGATTCGACGATGATGTAAACCCATTGCTTTTCCCTTGGGAGCTCAATGAGAAGAGCGCCACTGTCGGTTGGAAGAGATTGGTTTTTCCATACGGAGAGAAGAGTAGGGTCGTTCCACTCGGCAAAAAAGGTTGTTCCGCTCATGTACCACTTGAAAAGCTGGGCTTCATTGCCTCGGACAACGACATCGAGCGTGCCAACCTGAACATTGGAACCACCGACTGTCATGGGAGCCATTGGGACAAGAGAGGCCGAAGGTTCATCGACACACTCGCCGGTGTAGGAGTACGCGTTACCACTGGATCCGTCGGTGACTGCCGAACCATCATAATTCACGATAGCCCTGATGTCCAGAGCCTGGACAGTACCAGCACAAGCATTTTGGTTGTCAGCACGGAAGAAGAAACTTCCAGTTGTGTTGGTGGCCTCGACAATCACATCGTATCTTTGACCGATGTTCATGTTCAAGATATTGGTAGTGTATGGGACAATGGGGACGAAGTCCATGGCAATGACAGTAAATTTATGGTTGTCGAGGTAGACCTTGTAGGTGGATTGAATGGCACTGTTGATGATACGGAACAGATATTTCTTTCCTGGCGTGAGAGTCTTAGGAGCGACGAATCGGCTGCCACTGACAATAGCTGCCTGGTCATCACCTTTCCAGATGTTCTTGCCGTTGATGAGACCGGTGTCAAGCAAGACGGGACCTCCGTAGGTAGCAGGGGCACCATTAGGTCCTGGTGGCGCGCCCGGAATTGGTGTGGCGTTCTGAGCGAGATCGTAGCGGGAGTCGACGGTGAAATGCGACCAATCTTGGATCTGGAACGGGCCTGGGAAGAATCAGTGAATTGTAGTGGAGGCGCAGTCAATTTCTTACCCATATCCTCATCATAATCAGCACTGTGTGGACCATCAATGAGCATAGGACCCATGACGCCCTCCCAAGCTTGGATGGCAAAATGAGAGTGGTACCATGAAGTTCCATAATTTTCTGCGATAAAAGTGTACGTCATGGATGAGCCTGGGGCGATCGGGCATTGGGTGATGGCGGGGACACCATCATTCATGTTGTTGTCCAGTTGTCGAATACCATGGAAATGGATTGAAGTGCCGTTCTTGTTGTCGAGTAAGTTGTTCACTGTCACAACGACAGTATCACCCCAGCTGGCTTTGATTGCTGGCCCTGGCATCTGACCGTTCACCACCATGACCGGGCGTGAAACACCATCAGGGGCAGACGTTGTGTATGTAATGTCAAGGTTGTAGTACACCACGTTACAGGTAATTGGAGTGACCTCATAACTGTTGTCGCGGGCCGTGTAACCGCAGAACTTGTCAGTGCCCGGCTGGCCAGCACAAGGAGTACAGTTGGGCAAAGTATTGGCAGTAAGTGTAGGTGCCGTGAGGCAGGAGCTCTGGGTTGAGGAGGAACTGCTGCTGATGGTCGAGCTACTACTTGATGCAGAGGAGGCAGACGAGGTTGTGCTAGTAGAGAACGTGGACGAATCTGAGCTGGAAGACGACGTCGAATCACTCGCGCTCGAGCTTGAGGATGAATCGATGCTTGAGCTTGAAGATGAATCGACACTTGAGCTTGATTCGCTTGACGTGATGGACATGGAGCTGGATGTCGAGTCCGACGTGCTTGCAGATGAAGTTATCGTTGCGCTATCGAACGAAGAGGATGAGTCGCTTGAAACAGAGCTTGATGTAATCGTAGCGCTGTCGCTGGAGGCAGTGCTTGACGAGGATATATCCACGCTGCTAGTTGACGATATCTCAGCACTGCTCGTAGATGAAATTTCAGCACTGCTACTGGACGACGAGACCTCAGCGCTACTTGAAGATGAAACCTCGGCGCTGCTGGTGGAGGATGAAATGTCCGCACTGCTGGAAGAAGACGAGATCTCTGCACTGCTCGTGGAAGATGATACTTCCGCGCTGCTGGTAGAAGATGAAATCTCCTCGCTGCTGGTGGAGGATGAAATCTCCGCGCTGCTGGTGGAGGATGAAATCTCCGCACTGCTGGAAGAAGACGAGATCTCTGCACTGCTCGTGGAAGATGATACTTCCGCGCTGCTGGTAGAAGATGAAATCTCCGCACTGCTGGTTGAGGATGAAACCTCGGCGCTGCTGGTAGAGGATGAAATCTCCGCACTACTGGTAGAAGACGAGATCTCTACACTGCTCGTGGATGAAGAGATCTCCGCACTGCTCGTAGAAGATGGTACTTCTGCACTGCTAGTGGAGGAAATGTCCGCACTGCTAGTAGAAGAGGAAATCTCCGCACTGCTCGTAGAGATCTCCGCACTGCTCGTGACAGATGATATTTCTTCGCTGCTTGTAGACGAGACCTCAGCACTGCTTGTAAACGATGACACTTCTGCGCTACTTGTGGACGAGACCTCAGCGCTGCTAGTAGAAGAGATCTCAGCACTGCTTGTGGACGACACCTCGGCGCTGCTTGTAGACGACACCTCAATGCTGCTAGAAGCCGAGGATGACTCGGTAGATGGAACAGAAGAACTGCTCTCGGATACAACTGATGACGAGCTCGACGAAATCTCCACAGAGCTTGACTCAGCAGACGAACTGCTCTCAGAGACAGCAGAAGATGAGCTCGACGAAATTTCAGCAGACGAGGTGATACTTGGGCTACCAGAGCTAGACTCTACAGAGGAGCTGCTCTCTGGAACAGCAGAAGATGAGCTCGACGAAATTTCAGCAGATGAGGTGATCGTTGAGCTAGCGGAGCTGGCATCAACAGAGGAACTGCTCTCAATGCTGGCGGATGACGTGGTGGAGATCTCAGCAGAAGATGACACACTTTCTGAGGAAGATGACTCAACCGAGGACGTCACGGATGGTCCCACTGGCGAGGATTCCGAGGACGAAAGCTCGGCTGAGGATGTCACGGTGGGGCTTACTGGGACAGACTCCGAAGAAGACGAAAGGGTTCCACTCGATGATGAAGAGCTTGTTCCGACTGACTCTGGCACGCTGTTGCTCTCACTAATGGTTGAGGATGAGAGACTTGAAGGGATCTCTACAGATGAGGTCAGGCTTGGACCGACTGGGATGCTGATGGAGTCGCTCGGGGCGCTCGAAGTGAGCGATGGTGATGAAGCGCTAGAGCTGATAGTGTCGCTGCTTGTCACTGTCGGCCCCACTGGTAGGCTGCTGATGGACTCGCTAGAAGCACTCAAGCTGAGCGTTGACGAACCAGTGCTAGAGCTGACATTCAAGCTGCTCGTAAGCGATGGTCCGACTGGGATGCTGATCGAGCCAGAGGAAATGCTGAGGCTGGACGATGGCGACGCAATGCTGGAATTGACGAACCCACTGCTCGTAACCGATGGTCCGACTGGGATACTGATCGAGCCAGAGGAAATGCTCAAGCTGATTGATCCACTTGGGACAGAGCTACTGGGGGAAAGCGATGGGATGCTGGAGCTAAGTCCACTGCTGAAGGAAGGACCGACGGGGATACTGATAGAACCGCTTGGAACAGAGTGGCTGGAGCTCAGGGATGAGGACGGTACGCTCGAGCTTCCAAGTGTTGGGCCTACTGGTGTTGATGGGGATCCAGAGGAGGCAGATGGGCCATGGCTGGATTTCGATGCACTGCCGTGTCCCGAGGAGTACGAAGACGGCTTGGACGATGTTGGAGCTGGTCCCCACCATGGGTTACTTGGCACTAGCGATGAGGAGCGGGAGCTGGTGGCGGCGGTGGTGGTGACAGGTCGCTCCAAAGTGCAGAGTGATCTGGTCGCATATGGTTCGTAAGACAAGGAAGTAGTTCCCTGGGTCCTGACAGTGTGGGTCTTGGTCTTGGTCACTATCGACAAAGTTGTGTAGGTCTCAATAGGGCAGACGGTTGGTGCGGCGTAAGTCTCATAGGAAAGGGACTTGGAACCCTTGTAGTTGTACGTATGCGTCTTTGTGGAAGTGACCGTCAACGTTGTGAACTTGCTGTAGACGACAGGCTTCGCTTGTGAACCACCCTGAGCACCACCATTTGCACCGCCCTTGCCCCGAGTCGGGGAAGAGGACGCGGGATGATTTGATTTGAAGCCGCTGCCACCAAATGGCCACCACCAT